GGGACCCAGTAGTGCAGTCTCTCAGATCTGATCTGGGTGTTCTAGGAAAGCCCACTACTTGAGTTATTTGGGGATCTCCTAATGTAGCTGGGACTTGAATGTTATTGTACCATTCATGGATGGAGTCTCCTCATAGATTGTCTGACTATGTGGTTCAGCCCAAAACTTGTTGTGCAAACTGTTGTGGATGTGCTCAGGTTCCCAGCTCCCAAAGCAAAGGTTGCTTGTAAGGTCCCACTGGTGTGTGACTCACTGTGCTGTCCCGAAACATGCTGCTGGAGTGGTATCTCTGGTACTCACTATGGGGTGCCCAAGCCCATGGTGGGGTGGTGCACGACTCTGCAAATCACTGAAGGGGATACTGGAGCCTGTAGCCAGGGTGGTGCGCCACTCTGCATTAGCCCACTGTGGAGGCCTTGGGGCCTTTAGCGGTGCTTAATTTCTTACTGGTCATGTTTCATGTCTTTGAAATTCTCACTCAGATCCTTGAAAGTCTCAAAAAGTCCCTTGAAGCTCTCATTGAGTCCCTTGAAGCTCTCATTAAGATCCTTGAGCAACCTCATCACCATTGTTTTGAACTCTAATAGTTTACTTGCCTCCATTTCATTTTTTCTTTTTCTGAAGATTTCTTCTGTTCTTTCGTCATATTTATTTTTCTCTGCACACTGGCTACTTCCCTGTGTTTGTTTCTATGTATTAGCTAGAGCTGCTATGTCTCCTGGAATTGGTAGAATGGCTTTGTGTAGTAGGTGCCCTGTAGGGCCCAGTAGCTCGATCTCCCCAGTCACCTGAGCTGGGCATTCTAGGTGTGCCCCTGTATAGGTTACGTGCATAGCCTTGTTGCAGTTGAACCTTCATTGCTGTTGGTTTCACTGGGAGGAGTTGATCTCCAGGCCAATTGGTTGTGAGACCAGCTGCATTTACAGTGGAAGAGCTGCTGTGTAGGAGACACCCCTATGGAGCAGGACCTGCTTCAGTGTGGCTTTGGTGCTCAGTGAGTCTGCCCCTTGAGTGTGCCACTTGTGGATGTATAGAGTTATAATCTGGTATGGTTTGAAGTTGTCCACCAGGTGCACTAACTCTGTGGCCTCCTGGAAAGTACAAAGTCAGCCACTTGCTGGGGACACCTAGAAGGAGCTACAGTGATCTACAGATAGCTGCTATTTGTATTGGGCTTAGAAGTGCTTAGGTGAGGCCAAGTTTGAAGCAAGGTACACTGTTGCTAGTGCCAGGTCTTGGGCCTCTTATGGACAGGTATAGGGCACACTCATGCCAGCTGCTGCCTGTTTGAGAGATTTTAGGAAATTTTGAGGCCTGATCTAGGATAGTCCTTTCCTATGGAAAAGCTACTACAAGCTACTTTGGTGGGGCTGTAAGTTGGATGGGGTGGGGTCTTAGGGAATCACCAATGTGGAGGGAACTGTGTGAGCCACACTGATGGAAACTCAGATATGGCTGCCAGTCAGCTCTGTGATGGGGGAGGTCCCAGCACAGGAACAATGATCCCCGTGAGTACCCCCATCTTGGAAAAAGCTGTCCCTTAGTTTCTGCCCAATACCAGACAATAAAGTTCCTCTTCATATGTCCCTGGTTCCCCTAATGTTGCCACTCAGCACTGGAGATCAGACAGAGTAGGACCCTGTAAGTGCATGCACTGGCACTTTAAGAGGAACTGCCTAGGACTCCAGCAGCCACCTTGTCACTCAGCCATAATCCCCAATGGTTTTTACAGCCTGAAGTTATGGGGACTTCTCTTTCCAGCTCTGAAACCCTGGGCTGGGTGTCTGCTGTGGGGCTTACACCCCTTACTTCTCATGGGAGGCCTCTGAACTGGATATATCACTCCTGATTTTAAAAATCACCACAGGTGGGTATCTGATCAGCCCATTCCATGCCTCCAACCCTCCTATCAGACTTGATGTGCTTTGTTCTTTACTTCTCTAGTTGTAGAACTTCCATTCATCCAGATTTCAGGCAGTTCTGAATGATGGTTGTTCTTCATTTTAGTTGTAATTTTGCTGTGGTTGTGGGAGGTGCTAGTACCAGCATTTACATATACTGTAATCTTGCTTCTCTGATTTATTTTTTTAAGTATATTTTATTGATTTTTTTTTTTTTACAGAGAGGAAGGGAGAGGGATAGAGAATTAGAAACATCAATGAGAGAGAAACATCGATCAGCTGCCTCCTGCACACTCCCCAATGGGGATGTGCCCTCAAGCAAGGTACATGACCTTGACCAGAATCGAACCTGGGACCCTTCAGTCTGCAGACCGACGCTCTATCCACTATGCCAAACAGGTTAGGGCTCTGGTTTATTCTTTATTCCAGATATTGCAGTCTTCATTTCTGACTTATTTTTAATCGTTTATTATGGTTTTTAAATATATTTCCTTTCTCTATGTTCATATTTTCAATGAGATAATTTATTCTTAGCCTTAGTTCCTTAAATATCCTTATAACCCATATTTTAAACTCTGTATCTGATAAATTGCTTGCCACCATTTCATTTAGTTTTTTTCCTGAAGATTTCTCCTGCTCTTGCATTTGGGATTAGTTTGTTTCTCCTCATTTTGGATCCCTCTCTGGGTTTCTTTCTATGTATGAGGTAGATTTGATACATCTCCCAGTCTTGGCAGAGTGATCTTCTGTAGTATGTGCCCTGTGGACCCCAGTGGTGTAGTCTCCTTGGTCACTTGAGTCAGGTACTCCTGGGGTATCTTTTGTGTGTGTTGTGTGTGCCCTCCTATTGTTGTTGAGCCCTGAGTACTGTTGGCCTATCCTAATGTAGTTGGGACTTGAATGTTATTGTACAGTTCATGGATGGAGTCTCCTCATAGATTGTATGACTACGTGGTTCAGCCCCAAACTTGTCGTGCAAGCTGTTGTGGATGTGTCCGGGTTCTGGAAATCACCAGAAATGGAACTAAATGAAATGGAGGCAAGTAATTTGTCAGAGAAGGAATTCAGAGTAATGGTTATAAGGATGCTCAAACATCTGACTGAGAATTACAAGCAACACAATGAGAATTATAAGGAGCTGAAGGAGAAATACATGATGAATAAGAATCAAGAAGAAATGAAGAATGATATAGCTGCAATAATAGGTGTGGTTGACCCTCAGGCTGACTAGCTATGAGGCTTGGCCAGCATCACAGTGTATGAGCTGTTGTGTGTGGGCTGACCCCACACAGCAGGGTTTACCCCATTGGTGCTCTAGTAACTGCTGAGACCACCCTTTGGGTATCCTGTTTGTGAAGACAATTTGGTGATGTTCTTTTGTGATCTGAACCTGGTCACTGGGTATGTTTGCTCTGTGGCTTCTTTTGAGGGGCTCTGGTGCAAGCCCAGTTCAGCCTCTACCTGTGCACGCCCTAGGGCCACCTGTTAGAAACTACAAAGTGATGCTTGATTGGAAGTTGCCTATACTGTGCCCAGAGTCACATGAGAGATGCCACACTACTAACCTAGGCCAGCTGACACCAGTTGTAGGCCTTAGAACACTCAGCAAGAGGCACCAGTCACACAGAGGCCAGCTGTCACCTGCCTGGGGCTTGTGGAGCTTTGAGAGTTTTTAAGAAAGTCTTAAGGATGGACCATAGTCCTTTGCTTATAAGAAACAAGTGCTGAAAGAGATTTGGATGGTGCTGGAGTTGGATGGGGTGGGGTCCCAAGGAGTCACTAGGTTGGACCAGGGGTATTCACTAGGTTAATGCAGATTCTGATTTGGTGCCTGATTGCAACTGCAGGCAGTGTGGGGAGAGGGCTCAACAAAGGAACAATAGTGGCTGGCCTTCAAGCTCTTGCCTTGAAGCCACACAATTCAGTTTATCCCCATAGGTCCCTGGTACATTTTGAGCTGCTATCTCTTTGCTCAAGCTTAGGATGAGTTTTTGTGATTGAGTGAGTCTGACTCAGGCCCTTTAAGAAGATGCCTGGGTCTATAGCAACCCTCCATCTCACCCAGACAGAATCCCCACTGATTTTCACAGCCAGACATTGTGGGGACTCCACTTCTCAACACTTGTGTACTGAGCCAGGGTTCACAGTGTGGGTCTGAGACCTACTGCTCCTCAGGGGGAACCTCCACAACTGAGATACCCCTCCCAATTCTTTCTTTTTTTTGCCTCCCAATTCTTTACATGGTTGTGGGATCAGCCTGTTTCCAGTCTTCACCCCTCCTACCAGTCTTGATGTGGCTTTTTCTTTGTATTCTTATTTACAGAAGTTCCATTCAACTAGTTTTCAGATTATCTCCAGGGTGATTTTTCTATAATTTAGTTGTAATTTTGATGTAGTCATGGGAGGAGAATAGCACAGCATTTACTTACTGTTCTATATTGACTAGAAGTCCTATTTGTATATATTTTCATTTTTCAGATTTATTTTTAAATGTCAGCTTTAAAATAAATATTATAGTGCTCTATAATAAATAAAAATGTGTTTCTTCACTATTCAGGTTGCTTTCAAGTTAACACAAGTGAATCATATCTCACTGAAATATTACAGTGTACATACCATTTTGAATTCTACATTTTTTCACTTAAAATATAATAAGCATTTTCCCTTATTGTGACGTAGTCTTTATAACCATTACTATATTTTTTTTCTCATATTGCCAGGCTTTAAGTTGTATCCTAATTATTGCTGTGACTAACATTTTTGTATCTAGTTTGTCTCTGTCTTTATAATAGATTCTCAGAAATGGAATTATTAGGACAATGGCTTTGTAGAGTCTTAGGATTTTTAAGTACATATTACCAAATTCATTTATAAAAGAATGGTACCAGTTTACACTCTCACAAAAAGAAAATGGCATGAAAATGCCTATTTTATCATACCCTTACCTCATGATTTGTCTTTGCTAACTTAGAAATAAAAAACTTAGGGAATAAAATTTTATATTGAACTGATACCTGCTGTATTTTACAATAAAAATTGAATCTGTTACTTCAAGGTATGGTCCAGCATCAACTTATTTCAGTGGTAATAATTACCTACCTGGACCCAATAGGTATTAACCAGAACTTCTTGTTGTCTCCAAACACCTGCTGGATATTTTTGATGAAGCCAAGGTTGAACCCATTTTTCTTTGGACCACTTATAAACACTGGAGTACAGAAGGCCTCTGGGGCATTTAGGGGAGTTGAATAAAAGAGGAAGAAGACAAAAGGAAAAAAAATTTCAGGAAAAGTCATGATTTTACAGTTCTCCATCAATGAGACTTGGTTTTATGATACCTTTCTGCTGTGGTAGCATAGGCCTTTCATTCTTATTTACTTAGTAAAAACTATTTTAACCACTTAACACAAAGTAAGTTTGTTATTAAACACAAAGAATTGGTACTCTCTTTTATTTAAAAAAAGGCAGAAAAAAATGAATAATGGTAGAAAAATTAAGTAGCCATGAGCATAATATATTTTGTCGTGCTGCATGTAAGGAGTGAAATAATAGATTTAACAGCACTTTATTTAAATTTTATTGGCAACAACAGCCAAACAATCTCCATCTTTAGAACTGGGACCAAAGCAATAACATAAAGAGATAGTAATAACATTGATTTGGTTTTGAAACATTTCAGAAATGAAGATGTTCACACTGAAGCACACAATGTAAGCTGAATTTTACTCCAGAAAAAAAATGTGAATGGGTAAACTATAATCAGACTTAAAGGCTAAGAGAAATTTAACCATATTAGTGTGTATTATATTTAAACACATTTATTCCATTAAACAAATACTTTTACTGATGGGCTCTGACTGCATCTGGTCATTTCCTATTTGTTCTTTGTTTTCAGACTCTTTTAACATGAAGCTTTTAATTCTTTTCTAATTTGCAGCATGTCTAAGCCAAAACTGCTAATCTACCACCCTAGCAACTAAGTGCTACATATATATTTGGTTTGGAAAATGAGTGCAAATACCTTCTTTCCTGTTAGTGTAATTAACAAATGAGTTTAAAAAGTATAATTGACTTTGTACTAAACTTTCTTCAAATCTATTTTAGCTAACCATTCAACATTTTGACACTTTCTCTTCACTTGTCATGAATTGATTTGCATACAATGTAAATATTTCTCTCACCATAGATAAAAAAAAATCGTTGCACTGGAATCAATCAGAAATATAGTTCTCCAAACAACAAACCAGAGTATAGAATAATAGACAGAAAAAAGTTAATTTACTATATTCATTTTCTAGAAACTCACTTGTTCAATGTGTTCATCTCACACACACAGTCCCTACACAGCTCCTTGATGATTGTAGATATTCAAATTTTTTTATTTTTGGCTTGAGTTCTTTCTTAGGACTCTACTTTTGTATGTGCTCATTAAGTTATATTCTTCTATTTTTATTGACTTTTACCTCCAACTTCTGGTATTCCCTTCTGTACTGATTCTTTCCTTCATTTCCTCATGTGAACACTTATAAAAAATTCAAGCTGTAAATTGAGAGAGCTATTACCCAAAATAAACTATAAAGAACAATGGTCATTTTTGGTTTTGTGTGAGGTTTCTTTCACTAATGTTCTCTTCCCTATGTAAGCTTCATTCACCATGGCTCTCCTGTTTGGTAAAACTTGTTTGCATTTATCTCAACAGGGGGAAATGAATGTCACTGAAGTTAAAATGCTTCACTGGAAGTTTTTCTCTTTCTTGGGAATAATCCACAGGTCACTGTGATATACATTAATACTTTTTTTGTAATCTTAATATCCCGTCTTACCTAAGGTGGTTTTGTTTCTGCTGACAAGCCAACAATGGTAACCAAAGAGAATCACAAGGCTGACAAAAAACATGCAGGCCACAAATAGGAGAAAAAGGACATGGAACTTAGAGCGAACACTGGGTAATTCCCCCTAGAAAAGAAATAATAAACAGAAACGAAAAATTAAAGTTGTAAGGCTTGGTTAGTTTTTCTATAAAGATTAGTAATTTTTCTTATGTTTAAAATGTCTAGCTGTAATTAAAAAGTAGATTTTGTAAAATTTGTAAAAAAATTTTTTTCTTTTGATGACCATGCCTCTTATAGATATGCTTTCAGCTTACAAAGCCTAACATGGATTCTTACTTAAGTGCAGGTCACTCTAAAATATAGCATATAATGTACCAATTAGAAAAAGATAATTTTTAAAGAGTATACTTAGTCCTTAATTGGTATGCAATGTATTAGTTTTAAAATTAGTTTCTAAATCATGAATCACTAACTAGAGGTAATTTTGAGATCATATGGTTCATCCTCTTATCTCAAGGTGGGTTACTCTGGAATACTTTATATGTCATATTTTCTTGGGTGCATATGTGTGTTTAAAAATGTCATTATGATATATGTAGGAAGTTAAAACACATAGGTAGAATTTTTAAAATGTTCTGCTCATAAGTCATGAACTGATTTTAAAGCTACTACAAATTTTGTCTGGTTGTACGTGTTTGTTTGTTTTTTATAGCTGAAGTACAATGTGCTGATATATTACATTCTGTAAAATTACTGTTTAGACTGTAAAATTAAGCAGATTTGAGAGGATAATTTAAAAGCAGGTAGGTAAATATTTTTCTAGTTAGCTGGGACATCTTATCCTCCATGTGGCACCAGTTTTTTAAAAATATGCAGCCCTAAACCAAAATGAATTTTTTAAAGTTCTATAGCATGCACAGCTCATAACATTTTGTCTTCTATAGATAATCTTAGAAAAAATTTCAATTTTTGAGTGAGCAGTTGTGGTAATGACTTTCCTTTATCCCTTCCTTTTCTTGCTGATCATTGTTTTGGCTTGATGAATTATTTTGAAATATTTACAAATGATCTCAAGTGATAAAGTTAAAGCTAATTCTCAAAGTGGACCTTACATTAGGATCTGGTTCTACTCTAGCTTAGAAGAAGAAAGTTAAGGCTGGGGAAAACTTGGCAAATTTAGATAGTACCAATTTACTTCTTCTCTTAGAGGAGATTTTTATTCATTTTGATGTGAAGAAATATTGGAAATCTTCCTGCGTGTGTTTGAAGGCTAAAGATAAGGGGAAGTAAGCCAGTGAGATGCTTCCATATGAGAGGTGGGCTGGGCGAAAATGGCATAAAATTTGCTCCCTTTTGAAATGATTCTTCTTGGCCTAAGCATCCAAACTGAATTTGATTGTTTTTTGTTTGTTTTGTTTTGAATTTATAGGAAACAAATATATCAGTTTGTAGGGGTTTTTACCTGGCTGGGTTTTAATTTCACATCTCTACTTTTTGAATATGTTTTTTAAAGCTTTTAAAACTCATTTATTTTCATTCTTACCTTTTATGTTTAAATGGGAAATAAATAACTGTGCAAGAGGGAGTGATATAAAGTCAGTTCACACCCTGGATAGCATAGCTGAAAATCTTTCCCTGCTCTAAGTACTCTTACAGGACTCTCTTGTGTCTTCCAAATCCTATCTACTGTATTGTCTCTTGATAAAATACTTAATACTTAACTTTTTTTTGTTAGAAGATGATGGCCCTATGTTCAAAATTAACTTCTCAGAAGATAACCAAGCTAAATTACTCAACCACCAGAAACATTTCAGGGGAATACTAGTGGAATAATACTTATTTTCTTGGTTCTAAAATAATTCATAGCCTCTACGAGGAGATTCATGGCCCAAAATGGGAGATGTGAGTCACTAATTTTTCCTAACAAAGCAGCTACTCTTTAAGTTAATATTAATGGGAGAGACAAATGTGATGGTCTTCTGAATTCTTCATTCTGAATGTGCTAGAGCTTTTCCACAGCAGGACTATAATGGACAGTACGACATGGTACCATGTTTAAGCTCAATAGGCTTTGAGTCAGATTCAATACTGATTTTGAAACTTGTAAACTGGATAATCCAGAACATGTCACCTAACCACTATGAGCCACAGTTTTATCATCTTTAAATGAGACTAACAATTCTTGCTTTGTCTACTTCACAAGGCTGTGGTGAGGATAAAATGACATACTAGATATAAAAGTTCTTTGAAAATAGTAAAGTACTATACAAATAGATGTTGCTGTTCTTAGGAGCACAGCTAGCTTTCTTGATACATAGCTTTTAAAATCAATGTCAGATAAGTTTTCAGGGTGGTATGGTGATTGTGGGGGGAAGAGGGGTGGATGGAGGCAAAAGAGGGTATAGAGGGGCTAAATGGTGATGGAAAAAATAAAATAAAGAAAAAATAATAAATGGCAGTGTTTACATTTCATTTTTAGGGAGACTCAATTTACACTGAGAAAGCCAACACTAGCCCACATCAAAGTGCTCTCTAGCTGGAGAAACTGCAAAGAATCATTTATTTGAATGTCTTTTTCATTATGAGGGCAAGACAAAATAAGTTTAATCGCCTCTCTCACATATGTCAGGCAGAAGCTAGTATATTGTAGAGAAGAAACAAGGGCATAGGAAAGGACAAGTATATGTTCATCCCTGATGTTGCTTGTGAATACTGACATATTTCTGGTGATTGATTCATGTCCAACTATTAACTTTCAAGAGTTAAAAAAAAAAAGCATATGGCACCTGGCTGACATTTTTTAATTTGATTATTGGCTGACTAGGAGGGCCAATTGCAAAATGTGTAAAATGTAACATTGTTTACTCAGTTAAACAGTAGCCTACTGTGTTAAGAGCCAAGTAAAGTCAGTAGTGAAGACCAAGGCTGACATTTTGCCTAATGAATTGGATGCAATTATTTTCTTTACTTTCAGGGTAGCAGCATAGTGTATGAATAAAATGCCAAGCATATCATAGAAACCTGAGCAATTGATAGGAGATCCTGTGTTGTGGAAAGGGACCAATGAAGAAATACCAAGATGGTGAAGCATTTTATATTTGGGGAAAATACAAAATTGATGAGAAAACTTCATTTCTGTTTATATTTTTGTATCTCTGAGTTGAAGAATTTTATATCCATTATATTATTTCCGAATATTAATATTATTAAATATCTGAATTGATTAAGCAAGTCGAAGGAGGAGTGGAAAGCACATATCACTATAATTTTCTACACTACTAGGGGTGAATCACTATTTAACAATTAAAATCTTCTCAGCTACCTAGAGTCTCACTGCTGTGCCTTTCTCTCCCCCCCCCAACCCCCCAGTTTATTATAATCCATATTCTGGTCATAGGATTCATGTTTTTTCCCTGCTGCTTTACCTCTCTGCTTGAGGTAAGATATTCTTGTTGTACAGGCTCTTGTGCAATTCCTAAAATAATAACTAGTAGCTCTGCCTACATCTGTCTTTTGTTATTAAGGTTCAGGTTGGACAATCCTCTTTATGGAATGTTATGATATCTTAGTAATTATACTAGAGTTGTATGGAGGTAATGTCTTCGGGAGTCCATTGGCATGAAACAAAACAAAATATTTCATTATATTGCTGCCAGAACCGGTACACATATGTAAACTGAAAATCTACATTCAATTATTTTGGAAATAGACGGGCTATGATGGATATCTTCAAGTAGAAGAAAGATGAAAGTAGGATTTCTTTAGATTTCATTATAATTATCAGAATCATATTTTGAAAGGCAGAGTACTTCCAACAACTGTTTCACTTGATTTTGTTAATGAGCCTATAAAGCAGCTAACAGAGCCAGTATTAGAATCCCAGTGTTTGTTATACAAAGTTCAAATAAGACTCCTCATTTCATTTTGGTAATATGTGAAGATAAGTTAATGTATCTTTCTTTCCCTGTAGGAATTTTGCAACTCTCCTTTGAACAAGGAATTATAAAGTATTTTTCTAACAATGAGGGAGTACTTTGTTACGCTTTTTCTTAGGAATCTAAGGATGTAGAATTTGTTTCAACATTTGTCAAGTCTATAATTGGTAACATGTGACTTTTTAAAGCTTGACAAGAGATGTACATTGTAAAGAATTAGTAAGAATCAAGAGGTTAGGTTCTAGAAGGCCTTAAAAATATTCTCATATATGACAGGAACTTTTTATTTATTTATTTTTAGTATATTTTATTGATTTTCTATAGAGAGGAAGGGAGAGGGATAGATAGTTAGAAACACTGATGGGAGAGAAACATCGATCAGCTGCCTCCTGCACACCCCCTACTGGGGATGTGCCCACAACCAAGGTACATGCCCTTGACTGGAATCGAACCTGGGACCTTTCAGTCCACAGGCCGACGCTCTATCCACTGAGCCAAACCAGTTAGGCCAACAGGAACTTTTTAAATAGGAATATTTAAATAACAGCTCCTGAATCTCAGAATATTCAACATGGGAAACTTGCTTTTGGTGCTTTCCCTTATGGTTATTTCCATATTAGTTATTTCAAAATGTATTAAAAAATAAGGCAAACAATGTCACAGACTGGAGTATGTGTGTGTTTGTGTGGGTTTGTTTTTTTTTTTGAGGGGGGGGGCAGGGAATTCAGGATTTTTTAACTTACTCTCCAGTATTTGATGAAATAGCTGAAGACCGTTGTAGCAATGTACAGGCAGTAGAGAACAGAATAACCTAAGAACTGAAGGAAGAATTTATAGTTGGAAAATCCAATGCAATTATTAACCCTAAAAAAAGAAAAGAAAAACTAATTTGAAATCAGGACCCATTTATTGAGAGCACACTGATACATAAGTGAATTAAGCAATGGAAGTATGTTGCTCCTACTGTTTCATTATGTGTTGTGTAGAAATTCAACAGAAATAAAATTCCCATAAGAGGAACAAACTAGAAAAGCAAGTTAACATCACACTTGTTATTCCTTTCATCCACAGGGACAGAGACACCTGGCCAATCTAATTGTTCTGAACTGGTTCCTGACACACCCAATCAAACCTAGATCTTGGATGCTGAAAACCTATTAAAATCTCAGCAGCTACATTTAGTACAGTGTGGCATGTTCTCTTTGTAGTTAGATGATTTCAGGCTGGTTCTCTAGATCAGACCGAAAATTTGGAGAATTGCTGATGCTAACAATTTACAGTATTTTAATTTGGTTATTGGCTGACTAGGAGGGCCAAAGGCAAAATGTGTAAAATGTAACATTGTTTACTCAGTTAAACAGTAGCCTACTTGTTAAGAGCCAAGTAAACATCAAGACAGCAAAAAAAAAAAAAACAACAAAAAACAAAAGCTGATTGTATAATGTCAAAAGGAAGAACTATTTGTGCTTTATTCCATTACTATGATTAACTGTTAAAGCTAATCAACAAGAGACCATTAGCTTTGTGACCCCAAGAATTCACCACCATACTTTTTATGGTATATTTATTTTTGCTTTAGAATGTTAAGCCCCCTGTCCCTCACACAAATAAGAGCTCAGTGAATAGCAGAAACAGGCATGTTACTGTGGGAAACTGTTTATTGCCTTCACTATCTGATAAGCATAGACAGAGAACCCCCCCCCCCCAAGGCTGGGTGCCTTTGAAGCCCTCCCAAAGGTCGGAGCTAGGCGCCACCTCTGTTTGTCCAGACAGTGATAGCTGAAACTACTCCCCCATTTATTACTATGTAAATCCTTGCTGATGGGCTAGTCTGCCTGTTGCAGGGGGTCACCTGCCTAGGGCTATGCTATAGGGGCATCCCAGATCAATAAAAGGTTGGAGTGGCCTGAGCACAGAGAGAAGTCCTTTGGGACTTGCCCGCCTGGTCCCCCAATATTGCAAAATTATCTCGTGTCTTTTTCTCTCATTTGCTGTGCGGCTCCTCTTTCAGATACCGAACCCTACTCCACACGAGTCGTGGAAGGAAACACTCAACATGTTACAACTGTGCTTACTAAAGTAGGCATATTAAGAGACTCTTTTTGGAGGAAAGAATAAAATAAAAGGGCCTTACCAAGGGCAGTGATGGTCCATTTTTAAAACACACCTAAAAAGGGAGCAAAATATAGTGTGATAAGTAGGGCTATGGAAAAGAAGCAAAATCTCATAATTTAAGTCAATTTCTCACCAGTATTTTTACATGGTACCAGTACACTCATTCCTATATTTCCACTATAGCTACACTAAGACTATTGTGTTCTCAGTTATTCCTTGTATTAGCCAAGCACAACAATGTATAGGATCATGCTGGCAACAAGTTGCATGCCTAAAAGTCCAATCTATAAAAGTGGTTGGGAAATCTAGGATATTGATACAGAGAATAGGTCTAGGATATTGCCCTTCATTTTGCTCAATATATAGTTAATTAAAACTACGGAAGAAACTATATGGCTACATCTGTGTTTGAATCAAGGGTAAGATAAATACAAGTGGAATAAGCACCCAAGAAGAAAGATATGAAGATGATACCTAATTAACATAAAAGTGTGGTTTTACAAAGTTGGAACAATTAGAGTAACAAAACAATGTAGTACTGAGTTATAATACAAAATGTAAAGAGAATGAAGCATCAGTGATGAGAGAGAATCATTGATCAGCTTCCTCCCTACTGGGGATTGAACCTGCAACCTGGGCATGTGCCCTGACCAGAATCAAATCATGACATCCTAGTATATAGGTCATGCTCAACCACTAAACCACACTGGCTGGGCAAGAGTAACTCGATAATTAAGAAATCTGACAAACACTACCTCACCCAGATGATCAAGACTAACATTACAATGATGTCATGTTTATATTATGTACCCTAGGTATGATATAATAAGCATGGTACTTTACCTCTATGGTTTTCCTCCCCAAAACACACTACCCAAGTCTAATCTAAAGAAAAATATCAGAAAATTTTCAGCTGAAATATATTCTACAAAATACCTGACAATCCTAAAAGCTGTTAAGGTTACATAAAAGAAAGTACATTCTGAGAAAGTATCACATCTAAGAGGAGCCTTAGGAGACATGGCAAATAAATGTAATATGGTGCCCTGAATGGAATCTTGGAACAGAAAAAGAACATTAAGGGAAATCTGAATAGAGTATGGATTTAAGTCCAAAATAATGTATAAATATTTGTATAAATAATGTATAAATCATTAATTGTAACAAATTTATCATATTAATATAAGTTGTTAATAATAGGGAAACTGTGTGAGACTTATGAGAATTATCTTTACAACTAGAGGTCTGGTGTATGACATTTGTGCAATGGGAAGGGGGGGGTCCCTTCAGCCTGGCCTGCGCCCTCTCACAGTCCGGGACCCCTCAGGGGATGTCCACCTGCCAGGCCCCAAGGGGTCCTTAGCACTGCCCTGCTTCTGACCACCATGGGGCAGCTCCTGCATTGACGGTCTGGCCCCTAGTGGTCAGTGCACATCATAGTAACTGGTCGTTCTGCCGTTTGGTCAATTTTCATATTAGCCTTTTATTATATAGAATAATTCTATTCATCTAAAACTGTTCTAAAATAAAATGTTTATTTATTATTGTTTTTTAATCCTCACCTGATGATATTTTCCCATTGATTTTTAGAGAGAGTGACAGGAGGTGGAGAGACAGAGAAAGAGAAACATCAATGTGAGAGAGACACATCAATTGGTTGCCTCCCAAGTTGAGCCTGCAACTGAGGTATGTGCCCTTTACCAGAATCAAACCTGGGACCCTTCTGTCTGCAAGCCAATGCTCTATTCACTGAGCCAAACTAGGTAGGGCTAAAATGTCTATTTTTTAAATGAGACTTTATTTTTCTTTCCTATCTTTAGAATAGTTTGAATTATCATCCCTATGAGTGTGTTTGGCATGTGCTCATTATAATTGAAAGGAAATGCTCTTATCTAGGAATGGTTACATGTTAAGATCAGTCACATTGTTGTCTTAGTAACCATCAATTGCAAAGCTTAGTCCAGGGAAAATATAGCTGTCACTTACATAGCACAGACAGAGCAGTGGTGGCAGCGATCTGGCTTGATCAAATGGCACTGGTCACAGAATCTTACAGCTATAGGAAAAATAAGATGGTTAGCACTGATTAGAGCTCAATGTGATATCATCTATCTTCCTAGCTTATCTGAATGGCTTGCTATATATATACATTGATTACAGGTAGTCAAACTCATTTCAAGTTATCAAGCAAAAGGCAAATTGCATAAGGAATTGTAGTATGTATGTTTTTTTCTCCTGTTGTATCAATCTTTTTTTTTCCAAATACAAACAAAAGTTCATTTAGAAAGTCACAGAAGTAAGAAAGGTGAGCCAGCTGGGGCTGCACGGGCTCAGGAAACAAGATACAGAGGCAAAAGAAGGTCCTTTGGAGATTAGGAGAGAGTGTGCACAAAGGTATGCACAGGGAAGAAAAGGGGGGATGGAGAGAGAGAGAGAGAGAGAAAGAGAGAGAGAGAGAGAGAGAGAGAGAGAGAGAGAGAGAGAGAGAGAAAGGGTGCCCTGGAGAAAGTAGGGGGTGGGGAAGGGCTCAAGCATACTTAAGAGAGAGAGAAAGTGTGCCCTATTGTATCAATCTTGAAAGTACCTTTTTGAGAATGAAGGTAAGGGGGGAAAGTTTTCATATCATAGGATTAGACACAATACCTAATCATAAGATGCTGTGTTACATGACAAACTATACTGTCAACTGTTTGAGTGATCTTGGGAAAATTATTTAGCCTCTGTTTACTTTGACTCTCGTATCTGAAAACTAGGATTCATATTTTATCTTCTGTTTTCAGACATTTTATTATTCTATGAGGTAGATAAAATTCCTAAAGCATAGAAAATATAGTGGTTCTTAGAATAACTATTTGGGAAATAGAAGAGACATTGTAGAAAAATAGTTCAAGTGACTATTTCATAGATAAAGGAAGTAAAGACCTGAGTCAAAACAAGTGAATTATACAAGGCCACACAATGAGTAAGTGGCAGGGCTGTGACCAGTACAAGTTTTCTGACCCCATAGTTTAGTGTTCCTTCACTCTGTAACTCCCATATCAAAATCATTTCCTCCTTTCCTCCTTCCTTTCTTATTTCCCTTAAATAAAAGGCATTTTCTTTTTAAACTTTTTTTTCAATTATAGTTAACATACCATATTATATTTGTTTCAGGTGTACACCATAGTTATCAGATATTTATATACCTTACAAAGGAATTAACTAGATAATTCTAGTACCTAGCTGAAACCATACATAGTTATTGCAATACTAGAGGCCTGGTGCATGACATTCATGCACTGGTAGGGGGGGGCCCTCAGCCCAGCCTGCACCCTCTCACAGCCCAGGGCAGCAAGCCTAAGCCTGCAGGCGGACAACACCCAAGGGGTCTTTAACGCTGCCACAGAGGCGGGAGAGGTGAGCCCAACTTCTGGCTGAGCTACGCTCCCCCTGCATTAGCGTCTGCCCCCTGGTGGTCAGTGCACATCATAGCAACCAGTTGTTCTGCCATTTGGTCTACTTGCATATTAGCCTTTTATTATATAGGATAATTGACTATATCCCATGTGATGTACTTAACAACCCCATGACTATTTTGTAACAGTGAATTTGCATGTTTTTTTCAATTTTTAAAATATATTTTTCTTGATTTCAGAGAGGAAGGGGGAGGGAAAGAGATGGAAACAAGTGAGAGGGAATCATTGATCGGCTGACTCCTGCATGCCCTCCACTGGGGATCGAGTCCACAACTCAGGCATGTGCCCTGACTGGAAATCAAACCATGACCTCCTGGTTCACAGGTCAACACACTGGCCTGGCACCAATTTGCACAACTTAATCCCTCCCCCTTCTTCTCCCATCACCCCAAACTACCTTTCTATCTGACAAACATCAAAATATAGTCTGTATCTATAAGTTTGTTTCTATTTTGTTTGTTTATTGTTTTTAGATTCCACATATAAATGAAATCATATGGTATTTGTCTTTCTTTGTCTGCCTTATTTCACTTAGCAGAATACCCTTTATATCCATCCATGTTGCTGCAAATGGTAAGATTTCATTTTTATGGCTGAGTTATATTCCATTATACAAATATACCATATATTCTTTATCCACTCATCTACTGATGGACATGTAGGTTGCTTCCATATCTTTGCTATCTATATATATAAAACCCTAATATGCAAATAGAATGGTAGAACAACCGAACAACTGAACAACCAGTCGCTATGATGTGTGCTGACCACCAGGGGGCATGCGCAGAACATGGCAGGCATTGGCAGCAGGCGGCAGAGCATGGAACATGATGGACATTGGCCACAGAGGGATGGTAGAGTAGGTGAATCGGGGCGCCAGACCAAGGTGGGGAGCCAGTCATCAGGGCAATCATCTAGTGGTTACTGAAAATTCTTTGCTCCCACATGCCGCAGCCCCGCCTGGTGCTCACACCTGCTGCTGGTGCCAGAGCCATCACTTGCACCTGCTGCAGGCACCTGGTGCTGGCCCTGATTTCTCGGCGCCACCAGTGGGTACGGGTGCGAGTGGCAGTTGCAGGCCCTGGTTGTTCTCAGGGCTTCTCCACCTCCCCCTGCTCCTGAGGGGTGATCGGGGCCAGCAGCCACCTCTCTCACCCGCTTCCAGCAATGGCCCTGCTTGAACCCACTGCTGGTGCCAGAGCTGCCACTCACAGCACTGCCAGCGCCGGCCCCACTTGCACCCGCTGCGAGCACTGCAGCCACTGCTCACACCTGCTGCTGGTGACTGGCGCCAGTGCCAATCACTTGACACCATCAGTGGGTGTGAGTGGTGGCTACCAGCCCCGATCGCCCCTGAGGCTTCTCCACCTCCCCTTGCTCTGAGGGGCAATTGGGGCAGCAGCTTCCACTTGCACCCGCTGCTGGCACCAGTCCTAATCGCTTTGTGCCATCAGCAGGTGGGAGTGGCAGCAATGGGAGCAAAGCTGCCAGCAGACAGGGGACCGGGGGCCGCAGTGAAAGGTGCCAGTTAGGGGCTTGGAAGATGGGCCAAGACCCATCCCTGTGCCCACCGCAGCCTTGTGGCCCACAGTTCCTTTCAAGGTGCATGAATTTGTGCACTTGGCCCCTAGGAGTAAATAATGCTGCAATAGACGTAAGGTTGCATATGTCTTTTCGAAAAGGCATTTTCTTTTCCTGCTCATTTTCTTTGTATTTATTGATAGAGTATGACTGTTTTTAATGACATTAAGTGTAACAATTAAAGTTATGAATAATTTGAGCTAATATAATAATTTCGTCAAAAGTGTACACTAAACACACACAACTGATTCAACATACTAGACTTCTAATTCAGCACAGTATGTGTTCATTTCCAATAATAGGTAGTGATCAAAGTTTGATACAATTAAGGCAAAGAAGAAGGGTACTTGCTTGTTTGACTCTTTCAGCATATTTTTTTTTCTTTATATATTTTATTTTATTTTATTTTTATTTATTTATTTTTTTTTATTGCTTAAAGTATTACAAAGGGTATTACATATGTGTCCATTTTATCCCCCCGCCCTAGACAGTCCCCTAGCCTCCCCTATCCCCCAATGTCTTATGTCCACTGGTTATGCTTCTATGCATGCATACAAGTCCTTTAGTTGATCTCTTACCCCCCTACCTCCTGCCCCGCAACCCTCCCCGGCCTTCCTGCTGCAGTTTGACAATCTGTTTGAGGCAGCTCTGCCTCTGTATCTATTATTGTTCAAAAGTTTATAATGGTCTCTATTATCCATGAATGAGTGAGATCATGTGGTATTTTTCCTTCATTGACTGGCTTATTTCACTTAGCATAATGCTCTCCAGTTCCATCCATGCTGTTGCAAATGGTAAGAGTTCCTTCCTTTTTAGAGCAGCATAGTATTCCATCGTGTAGATGTACCACAGTTTTCTAATCCATTCATCTACTGATGGGCACTTAGGCTGTTTCCAGATCTTAGCTATGGTGAATTGTGCTGCTATGAACATAGGGGTGCATATATCCTTTCTGGTTGGTGTTTCTGGTTTCTTGGGATATATTCCTAGAAGTGGGATCACAGGGTCAAATGGGAGTTCCATTTTCAGTTTTTTAAGGAAACTCCATACTGTCTTCCATAGTGGCTGCACCAGTCTGCATTCCCACCAGCAGTGCACAAGTGTTCCTTTTTCTCCACATCCTCTCCAGCACTTGTCGTTTGTTGATTTGTTGATGATAGCCAGTCTGACAGGTGTGAGATGGTACCTCATTGTTGTTTTGATTTGCATCTCTCGGATGATTAGTGACTTTGAGCATGTTTTCATATGTCTCTTGGCTTTCTGAATGTCCTTTTTTGAAAGGTGTCTATTTAGGTCCTTTGCCCATTTTTTGATTGGATTGTTTATCTTCCTTTTGTTAAGTTGTATGAGTTCCCTATAAATTTTGGAGATTAGGCCCTTATCGGATATGACATTGGCAAATATGTTTTCCCACACAGTGGGTTTTCTCGTTGTTTTGTTGATGGTTTCTTTTGCTGTGCAGAAGGTTTTTATTTTGATGTAGTCCCATTTGTTCATTTTCTCTTTCGTTTCAAGTGCCCTAGGAGCTGTATCAGTGAAGAAATTGCTTCGGCATATGTCTGAGATTTTGTTGCCTTTGGATTCTTCTAGAATTTTTATGGTTTCCTGTCGTACATTTAAGTCCTTTATCCATTTTGAGTTTATTTTTGTGTATGGTGTAAGTTGGTGGTCTAGTTTCATTTTCTTGCATATATCTGTCCAATTTTCCCAGCACCATTTATTGAAGAGACTATCTTGGCTCCATTGTATGTTCTTGCCTCCTTTGTCAAATATTAATTGAGCATATTGGTTCGGGCCGATTTCTGGGCTCTCTATTCTATTCCATTGATCTATATGCCTATTCTTGTGCCAGTACCAGGCAGTTTTGAGAACAGTGGCTTTGTAATACATCTTGATATCTGGTATTGAGATCCCACCTACTTTGGTCTTTTTCAGGATTGCTGCAGCTATTCGAGGTCTTTTTTTATTCCAGATGAATTTTTGGAGAGTTCGTTCTAGATCTCTGAAGTATGCCGTTGGT